AATCCTGCTTCCTTGCTCTGTCCAGCAACTCCCTCCCTACACCCCTCCCAATCTGTTCGTCCTTGGCATCAAGGCCCCGACCCCCTGCAACCAAGCCACTCGTGCTTCCCTCTCTAGCACTGCCCCCACATCTCTCTCTCAGCTCAGGCATCATCCAAGGGTGTGAATTGCTACCATCCTTGAGGAAATGCTGAGTTGCTTGGGGACAGGGCCTGAGGCTGCACCCCACCTCTCCCTGAGACCTTCAGGGGCTGGGTGAGTTTGGGTCTAGTGAAGGGGTCTCCCAGGAAGAGCTATGCCCACTGCTAGCCTGCCTGCAGGTGGCCTGGCTCTGGTTAGGATTGCTTTGCTGTCCAGTGCCAGCCGGGAGCCAGGACCACACATACCTTGCCCTCAAGGACCTGGGTTGGCAGATTGGGAAGCTTGGTCTCCGGCTCTGACTTCTCTCCTCAAAAGAGAATCTGCCAGTGTGCGGAATTCTGAGGCAGGGCCTGGAATCCAGCAGCAGGCTCCAGCCTGGGAGGTCCGGGCTCCACCCTTCTTCCAGCTGTGCCAACCCTACAGAGCAAGAAGACTGAGTGAAGAAGGTGCTCACACCACACTGAGCACCCCCAGTCCCAAGAGCAGCTGAATTTGTCCCCAAAGCTCACTAAAACTTTCACTAAAAGTGCTCTTTCAGTTCTGCTCTGCCATGGGGCAGGATGGAAGACAGGTGTGTTCCTTCTATGCTTATCAAAATTGATTAAAAGGCAGCAGTGGAAGGTCCAGTCCACAGAGAGCCTGGGTTCACTCCTCTTCCCACGGTCAGGATACCCAGAGCGACTCAGGCTGGCCTGTCATCAGGGGCGGCTGGAACCTCCCCAGATTACCGACTTAGTCCTGAAACCCAAAATTAAAGCTACATTGAACTTCTCAAAGCGGCAGTTCCAAAGTCTGTTTGCAAACAGATCCCGAGAGAATGCTTTTTAATACAAAAGAGTCCCACAAAACTGGGAGGGTGTAGAAACGGGGTCCAGAAGCTTGCCCAGCAGCGCCCCCTGGTGAGGGAAGGGCTGTGGTGACGCGGCATGGCTCCCATGACCCGGCGGCGGGTCGGCCGCGGGGAGGCGGGAGGGGTCTGGTCTGAGCACCACGGGGCTTCCCCACCCCAGCCCTGGATTTCATCTCAAAGGTGTCCAAAGTCTTCTATGTATTTCCAGCTGTTCAGTCCTCCGCACCTCACGAATGAGAACAACGAGGCACGGCAGGGAAATCAGTTTGTCCCAGGCCCCGAGAGGACATTTCCAGCAAAGACCCTTCCCAAGTTCTGGGATTCAGACTGAGTAACCAGGGATGAAACAGAACCCCAGTGTCCATTCAGGGAATGTGCAGCATTCAGGGCTGGCTTCCTGGAGGAAGCTGGCTGATCTGTGCTTGGCAGGACAGGAAGCATCCAGATCCTGGCAAGAGGTCACAGGACCTTCATTCCAGTGAAGGATCAGGAAGAGGGCTTGAAAAATAAATTTTTTTCTTGGGTTTTAGAAAGAGTGATGGCTTTGCAAAGAAAGTCCGTCCTAAGTAACAGGTTTCCTTTTTTCTTTTTAGAATGTTAATAGTAGATTTTACTTAACCCATTTCTGTTGGGGTTTCCAATACAACCCCAGGTCAGATGATTTGTTGGGAGAACTCAGCATACAGTTGTACCCACAGCTGGGATTTTTTTTTTTTTTTTTAACAGCAAAAGGCTGGATCTAGAGCAAATCAACACAGAGAAATGTGCTTGTGGTGAAGTCAGGAGGAAACCAGATACAAGGTTCTGGTTTCTCCCATGGAATGACACAGAACTAGTTTAATTCCCCTAGCAGTGAGTTGTGACTGCACATTTGAAATGTTGTCTGCCAGGGAAGCTCGTTGAAGACTCAGTGCCCAGGGTTCTTACTGGGGCTGGTCACATAGGCGCCCCCCGCAGGCACATGCCCAAATTCCAGCCCGCCTGGAAAGGGGAGAGCCGGCGCGTTCGGCTTATACCATGTTATCTTACAGTCTGGGCGCAGTGGGCCGCTCTCGTCGTTTAGGGGATGGTGAGAACCCTTCTAGGTCACAGGTGTTTAACAATTGCTTTTCACTTGTATTATTTCAGATTATTGACCATGAGGTAAAGAGCAAGCCCCTATACGAGGCACACAAACTTTTTTTGACCTTCCTCCTGCCTCACCGGCTATTTCTTTTAAGGTCTCCTTCACGGGTTCCTCTATCTCCTTGACGTTAAATGTGGGGGCCCCCAGCTCAGCCTCTCCAGCTGTTATCCCGTCATTCTCACGACCATCCTGAGGGTTTTAAATACCATCCGTCATGTGGATGACTGTTTTGTTCAGCCCTCTGATGTCCACATAGAGGTGTCAAGTTGGCATCGGGAACCTCACATGACTTTACGCCGTTACCTCCATCTCTCCCCTGCCCCCTCAGCTCCCCATGGCGATCGATGAAATCAGCACCCACCCAAGTACTAAGCCATACACTGGGCTTGTCTTAGCATGTCTCTTCTTCCCTCGCATAAGCACCACTAGCAAGACCTCTCAGTGTTACCTCAGGGTGTGTCCTTCGCTGCCCACTCAGAGTCTCCTCCATCCCAGTCCCAGCCACCACTTCTGGCCTGGATGGCTGTAGTGACATTTCTGGTCTATCTACACAGTTGCTTGTCCGCTTAGAGACCATTGTCCACACAGTGCCAGAGGGAGCTCTCTAAAATGTGCATCGGCTATGTCCCCACTTTTGTCCCCCTATGACCACAAGGCTCTGCAGGACGTAGCCCTTTCTGGAGTCCCCTTTGTCAGGTGTCCCCTCACTGGTTCTGCTTCAGCCAAGTGGGCCTTCTCTCACAGGCATCAAGTTCACCCTACGCCAGTGCCTTGGCACCTGTTGTTTCCTTTCTCTGAAAATGTCAGCTCCCAGCCTTCACACCTGAGTGTGGGAGCAGGCTGACCAGCCTCAAGGAAGCTGTGACATCTGGGTCTGGTGCTGGGAGCCAGCAAGACAGGCACAGGGAAGGGAAGATGGCATCCAGGATCTTCATTTCTAGGCCTTGGGTTGTATGGTGCTCCTCTTAAGAGGGTAGAAAGGAGGTAGGTGAGGGAGGGGCTGGCTTTGGGGTGGGACCAGCCAGGGAGGATGATTCTGTCCAACTGGCTCCCAGGGTGAGCCTCACATTCTCATCTGGAAAATGGAGTTGTTGGGAGAATGCAAAATAATATATGTCCAAATGTTGCACTATGCCCAACCTCCCTGCCCCAGAGTGGGCTATTTCTAAAATTGATGTTGTTATATGATCCCGAAAAGTCCAAGAGTTAGATGAGATTTCCTATGTCTTTCCAGCAGTCACAGCCACTCTTGAATTCGAGATTTGCCTCAGAGTGCAGAGGAGGTGGGGTCCAAGGTCTGTAGGGACACAAACGAGCCTTCCTTCGGGCTCCTCTGACCCCTATCCCATCCTGCCTGCAGTACCTCATTCCCCACGAGGGCCTGCAGCCGGCTCCTGCCATCTGCCGTGATTTATAGAAAAGAGGCTGTGATTAATCAGCTAGTCAGCACCGAGAGCAGCCATTTTCTTTCATTTACCTGCCCCCTGACCCCCAGCACAGTCCCAGGCAGAGCTGGGCAAGTGTATTAATCATGCACTTTAAAAATATTTAAAGGAGGAGCTGGGCCTGGAGCGGAGTCTCCTTTAATGGACTCGTTTTCAGCAGAGGGTGAGTATGCTAATTAGAAGATAAAACAAACTGGCTGTTTGAAATGCAAATGAGCTCATGGAAGTGCTTCTGGTCCCTTCCTTCCTAGCTGCCTACTTGGAAAGCTAAATCTTACTTCTCCCAGCCACTTCCCGCTATGGATGCTTAACCAAAAAAGATTGTGGCTAATTCTGAAACTGAGAGGTGCTTGGTCTTGTTTTCTCCCCCTCCTCTTCTTTTATTAGGCACAGGAAGACAAAAGTCTTTCGCACTCTTATGTTTGGAGAAACCCAAGCCAGGAACGAGACACAGTCACTCATATCCTCTCTGGCCCCCACCCAGGCTCTCACCATGTCTAGGCACCTCTGCCCCGTTCTTCCTCTCCACTCCTTTCTCTCTGCCTCTGCCTGGGTCTAGGTTTCCAACCGTCTCCTGCCTGCCTGCCTTCCTGCCCAGTTAAACCCTCTCCACGCTGCAAGCTGCCAGCAGGAGCCTCCCCGGACACACACTGAAACATTTCTGTAAAAGCTTCCAGCCTTTACAATGGCCTCAATCACCCCTACCCTCCCTGTGCCCACTCCACCCCATCGCTGCCTTGACCTTCTGCCCTCTGCCAGCGCCCCTGCTGCCTCTCCCCGACCCCCGGCTTTGTAGGACTCTGGGCCAGTGTCACCGCCTGCATGGTCCCACCTTTGGTGTGGCAAAGCATCTATGTATGCCTATATTTGTCATTTCCCCAGGACCTCGGGCTCCTTGGCGTGGGAGCTGTTTTCTTCCCCACTGTGCCCCGCACCTGCTGGCACAAAGCTGGTATTCAGTGAGTCATATTGAGATGGGTGGACACAGGGAGGTCCACAAACTCCCTTCACCCAGTGACAGGCATCCTGACAGCACAGCAATGACCACCTACTGTAAGACAGGTCTAGGAGTCACCTCATTTAAGACACACAGTGTTTTATCTGCAAAGATCTGCACTCCAGGTCCACCCCTACTAATTAAGCAAGTACCATCACAGTGTCTACTTCTTCTATGAGATGGGCAGAGGGATTCTGAGCTCCCAGGCACAACGCAGCCACAGCTGTGGGCTTGCTTTGGTCACTAGGTACTGAGCCTCCTTCCCTAGCCCGACCTGGGCAGCCCTGCCCACCTCCCTCCCACCCCTAGTGTCTGTTCAACATACTCAAATCCCAGCTGCTCAGAGTCCAGCCTCCATCTTTTGGCACAGCCGACCGGGTGCCTAGTAAGAATATTAGGGCATTAAATGTTATCTTCGGTTATTCCTCCTTCACCAACTCCAGTCTAAAGTCTCCTACCCCACTCCGCCTAGTTCACTGGCATCTTTAGTCTCCCCACAACTCGTTATCAAACTATGTCTCAGGTTGGATCCTGTGAGAAGCAGATGCTGAGAAAAAGCTAGGGTACAAAAGTATATTGGATATTCTCACCTCTGAAAGGAGAGAGAAGAGGCGGGGTGGGTGGAGGAACCTCAGGCTGTGGCGCACACCCAAAAGAACCTGTGTGTGCCCAGCTGTGGGTGCTGGAGCAGCGCATGCCTGTCACGGGAGACCTGCCTTGGGGGACAGGGCCAGGCCCTGAAACCTCTGCCTTGCTCAGTTGTTGCTGAGACCACCCCAGAATAGTGTGACTTCAGCTAGAAAGCTGACGAAGCCAAAAGCTAGAGGCTGTTGGCTACACACACTGCTCCCAGGCGGGCAGCAGTCTTTTCTTTCTCGAAGGGGACTCTGAGCAGCTCCT